TGCTGGCCAGCTTACCGGTACCTACTGGGTGCTGGCAGTCCATGAGTATGGACTTTTTATTTGGCCTGCCGAAGGACCCGGCGGGTAATGCGGGTTTAGTGGTCTTTGTGGACCGTTTGAGTAAGATGGATCATATTGCGGCAGTGTCTGACACCATCGACGGTGCTGGTATGGCGGCGCTGCTTGTCAATCGGTTCTATCTACAACATGGACTTCCGGAGTCAAGTGTCTCTGATAGAGACCCCCCGCTTCTTTGAGAAGTTTTGGTCTACAATCTTCAGGGTTCTGGGCACCAAGTTGACTATGTCAACGGACCATCCGCAGAACGATGGTCAGACTGAGCGCGCAAATGTGTCGTTAAAGACGCTCTTATCAGCGTCTGCGCTACGACACCGAAGCGCTGGAGCGCAATCTCGCCACTCGTAGAGTTTAATTTGAACAATGCAGTACATTTATCGACAACACGCTGTTCTACGCGAACAGGCTTTTAATTCTCGCGTCCCGCCGACGCCGCCATCCAATGGCTCAAGGCTTTGTTTGAGAGGAATAGCCGAACGGCAATCTGATGTCAGCCCTCTCACCGTGCGTAAAAAATTTGGAGACTTCCTGTCTACCAGACTACCTGTCTTACGACACGTTCGTGATGCGATGGCGGAAAGCCAGGACATGCAGAAGGAATATGCAGACGGAAAATGAAAAAGAAATGCCAAAAATATTGAGGTCGGAGACCTGGATTTACCTATTGCTAAAAACCTTCCTACACATGCCGTTTCTGCTGTCTTTATGACAAAGCTCCGTCCTATTGGACCTTTTATGATCGTGACCAAGCGAGGCCTTGCGTATAAACTGAACCTTCCGAGAAAGATGCGCACTCACCCGGTTTTTAACGTAGGCTTACTTAAGCCAAGTGAATGCGAAGGCGTTGGCGCCGGGGCATCGCCCAAAGGCGCTCGGCCACTCAGAAGTTGTACCAGCAACTAAGTGCAACAACTTCCGTTTCCAACCGCGCAAGGCGCTCCACTGTCGCACGAAGTGACATATTCGCCTGCTCAACGGCTAGGAGCCGCTCCGACAGAGCACGATAATTCTCAATGTGAGGCAGTCGATGCACAAAGTGGTCCAGTCTATGAAGTTCTTCCGCACAGCGGTAGACGATTCCGGAGAGATGCTCGGCAGAGTGCTGATGACGACAAACTTTGTCCCCCAACTCTCAGAAAGCATCGCGAGTCACCGGACGGCGATCGACCAAGTCGTAATCACCCGCCGACATTTTTCGATGAGAATTGTGGCGCCCTTTACCACGTGTAACGTCTTGTGGGCTGACGTCCTCGACGTGTTTTAACCCAAGTGGCGGGGTATAAAAACCCCGAGACTTCGTGGGAGTCTGAGGTGTCATTTCCCCGACATCGTGAAGGATTATATTCGGAAGAATGATGACGCTTCGCGTCGTCGTGTCGTGTGCCCCGCGCTTGTCGGCAGTAGCCCGGGAAGACGGAGGCCAATAAGCTGAGCTCAAGCTATGGCCACGAGCTGTTGTGGTCGTAGACTCACCCGTGTGGGAAACCAAAGAGCTAGCGGGAGCACTATGGATTGCTCCATATGCGCAGGGCGACAATACGCTGGAAGTCGGCGTGTGCCTTGAGTTTGGCAAAGTAAAATTTAAGGTGGTGCTCAACGCGCACGTCCACTTCATTATGGCTTCACTGTAAGGTAGACAGCAAAAAAAACTTCCGGTGCCGCTGCACCCATCGCTTAAAGATCTCATCGTCATGTCCAGCGGTTTCGCCAGTGATGAGCACTACAGGAATGGTTCGCATTGCGGGAACAGAGTACCTCCTTTTTAAGCTAGAAGTCGAGCGCGGTACCGATCCATTGGGATCTATTGTGGTACCAAAAAGTGACCTCGCAGAGCTTTCCGCTGATCAAGCTCAGCTTGTGTTGTGGCCGGGGGCGCGTATACGTAGACGTTTAACGAACGAGTGATCGCGTCATTCACTTCAGTAGCAGGATCCGCCGAGCGGAAGCTGTATTTCTCACGAGGGTCTAAGACCGAACGTAGATACGAGCGCAGGAGAGCCACCCTATCAGCAGCCTCCAATTGCTGCTCCGGTGCTTTGATGAGGTGATTAGTAACAGTACCACTTCCCCCGGAAGTCGAGATATCGGGGAACGGACATGTTGTCCGCAAGGTGTGAGCTGGGCCACGTCGCGCCGCTGGCTTGCTTCATCCGCCTCTTAATCTCACGCTGGGTATGAGTATCTGACTTGTAGTCGACTTCCCCCACCTCCTCGACGAGGAAATTCGCCGCCCGAGGCAGGCGCGGTGTGTTTCGCTCGATTACCGCGGGCTTGGGATGTACTTCCCGTGAAGCCGCGGACGTACTGTCCGGAGATGCCCCCTGTGCAGAAGAAGAAGGGCTTTGCCCGCGGGCACCCTCGCTACCATGTAGGCTGGGTGTTTTGCGTGTCGTAGAGACAGTGCTCATAGAGCGGAGAAGGTTTAAAGTTGTTCTTAGGAACGTGAAGGTGTTCAGACACACGAGCCTCGTTTGAGGCGACTGTTAAATGCAATTTAGAATATTCACAATTTTAATGGGAGTGTAACGGGGTTACACGTGACCTCGTAAGAAAGGGCGTGTCGCATAAGATTGTGCGACCGTGCATAGGTGTGTTTTACACAGGTAGTGTAATCACACAGTGGCGTGGCTACATCGTAACAAGATGCCACCACTTGGCAGGATTGCCAGTAGTTATGGATATTGATAGGTATTACTCTATTAATAAGGAAAGTCTAGGGTTTTAGATATCGGCGGCTCTGCCGCAACTAAACCAATTAAATACAGTTACGTTTTTGAACAGAAGTGTTCGTTTGCCTTGGTAACACTAAAGTACTTAGAAGTAGCGGATTGCGGTCCGCTACGCTTGTACTAGTTCTTGAAAAAAACGTTAGGTCGGTGACCTTAGCTTAGCTTCTTCTAAGCAAAGAGCTACGACAGCCCTGCTGCATTACAGTACTTGCCTCGTTACGAATTCGCCCCTTCACAGGACAAGATAAATTTCGTGGTTATCGAAATCTCGAAGCTGGACAGTTTCTACTGGTTCTGCTTGTGCGTTGGATTTTGGAAATAGCTCAAGTATGCAGTTTCTGCCGTGATAAGCATTTGATCCGCACGACGATGGCAAATTCTGGCGGAAAATCCCACGAGGGGTTGAGTGCGCAGAAGTGATCAGCGACTGGAAAATGTCAGGCACATTTTAAAGCGGCAGCGTTATTTCTGTGGAAAACATTTCTGATATTTTGGGGTCGTGAAAGTTGAGTGTACGAAATGTCGATGATTTAAATGACAGGAATATTGAAACTGAATCAGAACGTATATTTTTTTAACATTTTGTGTAAACAACCTGGCAAGATAAAGCGATTATATGACTAGCTTACGAATCGACACCGGCAAGCGTGGCTACTGGCGAATCTGTAGATTTCTGGTGGTGACTTACTGAAGGCTAAAGCTTGCTTCCAGCGCATCAGTCGCTCACTTCCTTGACTTATCGATTTAATAATTGGGTCGACAGAATACCAAGGGTGAGTAGCTGCTACATTGTGTTATAACAATTGGCCAAAGAGAGCAAAAATGAAGGTCTTATGAGACTTTCCTGAGTTTTGGCTTTGTTCTAACAGATGATGCACGCCACGCCTTTCTGAAATAAAGAATACCTTTTTTCTTAGTTTAATCTGTAGAAAAGTTGCTATAACCGCCATCTTTAGACCTCAGTTGTAAATAAGTACTGATCGTCAAATGGGTATACTTCGGGTGACGTCAAGGCAATTTTATCGCTGTAATTATTTGCCAGCATTCGATAGTCTGCTCGAATAGGAGTTCGCTGATGAAATGCTGGCTGCTGATAAACGTTGTCAAGAAAAAAAAAATTAGGCGCGGTCGAATTATTTAAACCTCGCGCAGTGTCAAGACGTACGCACTCCATTAACGGTAAAAACTTTGCCACAATTGGATAGAGTGAAAGAACGTGGTAACTGAACAACAGCACGATAATAATCAGCACAGTAATCATAATAGAAGGTATCGCTGCCTTTTTGAGAGACAAAATTCCAATGAGCGTGAGCTGAGCAACAACGAGAGCGATGATGCAAAATTTGAACAAGCGCGGCCAGTATGCTCCTAATGCAAAACATGTTGGTTTGTAAACGTAAAGTATCTGACGACGATAAACAATTTCAGCCATAAAAAAAAAGAGCCACGTAAAGTAGCAGACTAAAGGCGCGATTGGTGCAAACGTCAGTGTCACCAATAAAACCAGGAAGCAATCGGCAAGAGAATTTGTTGGATCAAATGGATCCGTCTTGGAAATATTGCGAAGACCCATCCATGATGAATTGCGCTCACGTCGTGTGTGTTTTGGCGCCAAAAGTGCGAATAAAGCCGACCAAACCAGTGGTACCACACGCAGTAATTCCAAAATTAGCCCCAAACCCGTCTGTACAATCACGTACGAGATGAAGAATGTAGACTGTTGCGGCATACTACGTCCTAGCATGGATACAAGCTGTTTTGGCTGATTTAAAATCTCTTTGAGACTGTCCAAGATCGTGCCGACAATCACTGTAACGAAAAAAATTTGGACCAGTTGAAAATATGCCAATTTTGTAAATAATGCAGCCCGAACTTCAGTTTTCGATGGGTGACCTTCTCTATCCGATAGAAAATTAAATACCAGAGGCGCCAAGGCACTCAGTAAAGCAAGGGCTATCGGTGCAATTTGCTTAAATATCTCTTCGAGAATGGGATAATTAACAATGGCTTTGTTTAAAAACGGAAGCGTGCGTCGAAGAGACTCAACTGAGGCTAACGAGGCCACAAATGCGGTTGGAATCGTCCAAAATAACACAATTGTTGCAGACACTAAGGACGATAGAAGCGTTCCGAACATTCGAGTTTGATAGCGAAGCCCAATGTTTTCCCAACTGATATCGTCTACATGTGGTGCCGGCATAACAGCCATGCATTCTGGATCTTTTGATTGCGACGTTTGTTGCGCAACTTGCGCTGACATGAGTGACGTGAATGAGACAAATGCGGCCCGTCTCATCACCCGGATTGGATTTTGGTTTCGAATCTGATCCCGCTCGTACTGATTCATTTCCCGCTCGCCTTGATGTGTTTTCTTCGTGTCAAATTCGTCTATATCGTTTCTATCAGAACTACTTCGCAATTGCTCCGCTCCCCCACTACGATCAACAAATTGGCTTTCCTTCATCTCGCTGTCTCGTCTAAACATCTTTATCCTTTTTGGCCAATTTCGCCCGGGATCAGCCATGTCTCGCTTTTCACTATCGCCAAGACTGTCCATTCCACGCTCTTCTATTTCAACTTGAGACGCCAGCTGTGCCTGCGCATTATCAATACTCTGTATTTCATTCGCAACCTCTTCATTTAACGTCGCTAGTTCGTTTTGATAGTGGTCAATGCTATCAACGATGACACCTCGACTACCATTTTGACACACCATCATACCAATCCATGATTGCCCCTTACGATGCAGCGGTCTCTTGCATGATCGATCGCACATAGCTAATGCGTGCTCGAGATCGTTTCGGGATTTCTCGCGACGATTCAACAGCGCATTCAGCGTAGCGCATTCGAGTGCCACGTACACATTTCTAATGGACGATGGAAAGATCTTAGACATGTACCTTTCCAGCGTCTGGCGCGTTCGCAGATGTAGCGGCAGGTCGTTGACCAGCACTGAATACTGTGGTGCCTCCATTCTACCCATTACATCATGACGACAACTCACGTACACTTTGTACTCTTTGATAAGCAACTTCATAGCGTATGTTGACATCACGAACGCAACCACTGTCGGGGCCCACAATCTGTCACTGCGTTCAGGTAGATTGCTCATAGATATTCGAGTGAGTGGATCGATAGAAACTCGACTTGTCAATGGCTGTACTGCCGTTGCGTACAGTGGAAATAGCACTATCGAGCACCCCACAGCTAATAGTGCCAGTTTCTGACCAAGGCGCAAGAACCGAAGTAAAGTAAGCGTATCCAGGCCACATCTATGCAATACTTCATCGTCTGATACGCAAAAGTTGGCGTAAACCCAACGAAATATCTTACCAGAACGAGTATATAAAGACGCACTAAAAATCTTTTCCTCTTCGTGACGACAGTCGTAGACGGCACGAAAGCGCCGACAGAGACACTCAAAAAGTAGAAATCCCGCTGTCAAGATCGGAAAATATATGGACGCGCTTGTTTTGACTGTACCACTGGGGTTAGCGTTTGCCACTGTCGCATCACTCTGCGTCGTGCTCATTTCAAGTTTGTGGGAGGCGATACGGCAGTTGTGCGTTGTTGACATGTATTTCTCAAAATTTGTTATTCGACTGATTAATGTGCACCTTGAAGCCATCAACAAATTGCATGCTTAAGTGCTCATTAATTTCCTCGATACCGTTGTGTCCGACGAATTATCAAACTCGCTTTATCATGAGTGATAATATTTTTAAATTATCCAGACTGAGTGTTTTGATGAACTTCTGACATTTTTGTCTCTCGTTCTGTGTATAAGTAATCCAGATATTCAATTTGGATGATAGATGAATATTGCAGATATAGCAATAGACATGATCGGCAGTTTATCAAATCGTGTCTAGTCAACATGAAATTTGCTACATTGGCTCTACGTTCAACCTCCTTAAGCATCGTATGATTTGACATCGATCTCAGTTCAAACGATGGGATGAAATGAAAACAGCAACAACAAGCGAGATTGGAATCTATCCATACTTCCGAAAGTATGGCCCGTTCGAGTCTGAGATTATATTGATCAATCAGTATGAGGTTGCCGACTGCATGCCTACGAAACGTTATCAATCAACAAATTTGTGTGAATAAGATACCAATCTTTGGGCTGTTGAAAAGGCAAAAACAAAAATTAAAACTAAAAAATACTGTGAAGCCAAAAAAGAAGTTCTCGATGAAAAGAATAAGCCATACCACGAGCTTCATAAAGAGAGACTTGTCAAGGAGGTTACATGAGAATGTGGCGGTTGTTACCAATATAATGGCAGAACGTATCGCTTCAAGTCTCAACGGCATATAGGTTTGGTATTGGCTCAATCTGACCAACTAATCATAATCAGAAATCCCGCAAGAAAACGTGATATTTTGAACAACCTGAACTTTTAATCGATTAAGGCGATCATATTTATCGCAGCATCTTACAACTCTTACGGATGTTCTACATATCTATAAACAACGAGCATAATATTCGAGGTATTGATTGTATCCTTGGGTGTTTATTCATATTTTACTTTGATATATACTTTGAGGAACGGATAAATAAGCACCTTCTTCGTAGTTACATTGAACAGAGATAAATCACTAAGTGTTATTCGTAGCCAAACAATGAAGGTTGCGATTCTCAATGAACGATACCGAACGAAACGTCTCAACCCCTTGTTCTTGTGCTTGGAACAAACTTCAGATAAGCTGATCAACAAAGGTGTAGAAAAATGCCGAATTTCTGACCTTTGATCTTATTTTCAAGCTTCGCGTTTTTGCTTTCTTCCGGAATGATTTTTTTTCAAAGTCAGCAACCAAGAGACGACGAATCACTTCACCAGCTTCATCTTTGTAGTTTGGTAGTTTGTTGCTCTTGATATTCCAGTCATGAACTGGATTCGAGCCTTTTCCTTTCACAGGACATTAAGCTGAGCCACGCGTTTCCATACTGATGAAATCAGCATTTGGTAGAGTTTTAGCAGGATTTCTCATACCATGAGCCAAATAGGAATACCATGAAATCAAATATATCGTTTAGCTTAACCAAGATAAACTCGATAGTTTCATCGGTTCAAGTATTGGAGCATAGTCACTGTCAGTCCTAAATTTTGAGTCAACAATGAATATCTAATCTGACTATTCTCTACAATATCAGCGGTCAAAATAAACGTCTGCTGCTCATGCGCATGTATCGACGAAAGACCTTAAAGACGCGATCCATGAAAAATCTTGAATGTCGTCTAGGGTACGGAAGGCAAAACGTTAACTCAAATCGCTTTTATACGATGACTGTTATATCATCCTCTATTGCAGTAAACCACCAAAATTAGTAAATCTGCTTATAGATTTATCATTGGAGCATAGTCGCTGTCAGTCTTAAATTTCGAGTCAATGTATGTCTAAACTTTGAATATTCTCTACAATATCAGCGGTGAAAATAAATGTGGCATTAGACAGATCGTAAATACTATTCTTGAATCCAAAATAGCTATAATTCAGGTTAGTGAACTCACGCTGATAACGTTCTCGAGGCTAAAACGCTCTCACCGTCACTAAGGCTAAAACGCTCCCGTTACTGAGAGGCTCGCGTTGGTTGACAATGACATGGCCGTTTAGTCTTCGGAGACGATGCAGGTGGTTTTCTGAGTTTATCTATTTAATGATTGGTCGTTCGATGACTAAGCTAAACGATAAATTTGATTTCATGGTATTCCTTCTTGGTTATCCAATTCTCACCAAGAGCAGTTTGGATTGTCTGAATACTATGCTGTGATGGTATGATCAAATTTTGATCAAGCTCTACCAAATGCTGCGTGGTTCAGTCCAATGTGCTGTGAAAGGGAAAGGCTCGATTTCAGTCCATGAATATTTCAACAATTATCAAGAGCAACAAACTGCCAAGCTACAAATATAAAGCTTGTAACAGGGTTACACGTGCCCTTGTGAGAAAAGGGCTGGTCGCACAAGATTGTGCGACCGTACATAGGTGTGTATAACACAGTTTTTGTAATAACAGAGTGGTGTGGCTGCACCGCACTAAAAAATCACCACGTGGCAAAATCTCTATATTAGTTATATTAACTAGGTATTATTATATCTTTATCAGAAACACAGGGTTTTAGATATTGGCGGCTCTGCCCCAATCAGAACAATTAAATACAGTTTCGTTTTTTAACAGAAGTGTTCGTTTGCCTTGGTTAGGCTTTAGTACTTCGAAGGAGCGGATTGCGATCCGCTACGCTTGTATGAGTTCTTTGAAAAAATGTAAGGTCGGTGCCCTGAACTAAACTACCTCTAAGCAAAGAGCTACGGCAGCCCCGCTGCACTTAATAGCACTTGTAGTCAATCTACGCCTGAGTCGTTACAACTGATCCTGTGTGAGGATGGAGTGGTACGCATGTTTTCCCCAGAACATGCAGGACGGGCTGAATAAGGTGATGTCCCTGCTGGGCCATGAAAGTGTGAAGCACCTCGTTGCGCAAGGGCCCGAGACCCAAGTGCGCGCCTAGAGGCGTTGTCCAGTTATAAAAATGCTCTGTTAGAGCACCTTCAGCAGAAGTTGTTAGCGTCGACGGCGTCTATGACTCCGCCATGGGTCGGAAGGAATCCTCGACGACGGAGGATTCCTTCCGACCCAGGCCACTTATGGTGACCGTTAAGATTTTTATGGGGAAGGATGGAAAGAATCTCCTTCAGTGGGTGAGAGCGACCGAGATGACTATGGCATCCGCCATGCTCCAAAACGAGCAACAGCGCGTGACACAAGCTATCTCCAAGTTTGGGGTCGGGTGCGAGAATAAGACCTCACGTGCGGTGCTTCGGTTGAACCTGCGTTCCCCTGCTGCAAGGAGCTGATCCGTCAACTTCTGCAAGTGTTCTCGCCGCCTATTCAAAGGTATCGCGTGAGATCGCATTTCCTTGCTGCCCGACAGGACAAGAAGGAGTTATTGGACTTTGTCCAAGAGTTGAAAACATTCATTACCAAAATGGCAGCCGATCCTCTACCCGGAGCAATCGCAGTGACCGTCTTTATGGGGGACCTCCGCATTGGTGTGGCCAGAATGGAAGTCTTCCATTTGTATCTATCTTCCTTTGTAGAAGCGGTGAATGTGGCATTGAATACCAACTTCAACTTCTAATCGGCACGACTTGGTTGGAATGCACACCTTAAGATCTCGTCGAGCGAGCCTGAGCCAATGGACCTCAGCTATGCTGTGAAAGAGGGGAAAAAGCTCCGATCTGCTGAGCAGCGTGTAAACACCCGACGGTGTTTTGTCTGTGGAGACAGTTGCCACCTTCAGACTGATTCTCCCCGGCGCAAGACTCGTAAAGGTTCATCGAATCGACGTCTAGCTTTAAACCTGTCTGGTTTGACGCAGGGGAAAGACAAAAAACAGTAGGCGCAGGGCGTCCAACTGGGGAAGAACTGAGTTTTGCTGAGCCTCAAAGAGGTGGAGAGCAGCACGTCCCAGCCCCGTAGAGCTACGTGCTCTTGAACACGGAACGTGTGTGCAAGCCGGACTTGCTGGTCGAAAAACCGACCGTGAACGGCTTAGAGAAGCCATATAAAATCCTTATCGATTCTGGTGCGCCGGAAATAATTGCCCGACGCTTCACGATCGAAGGAAGTCAGCTGTATGCTGAAGCGCTGGATGCGCGGTTGAGTGAACTGTCACTGTTCGCTAAGCGATGGGGACATGTGTCACGGTGCCAAATGTCCCTGTGGACCGGTGTCAACTCTCTTGTATTTGATAGCGTGAACGCTCCTTAGTCTTAGACTTGGATTCAAGGTGTGACCTTATCCTTGATATAGCATGGTTGAAACATTATGAGCCGTTGGTTGATTGGAGGTCGAAAAACTTTGATGCTACGCACACGTCTTCTGGTGGAGCTTTGGTAAGTCACGAACCCACTTCTGCTAGAAGCAATGGCGCTGTTGTCTTGGGCTCTGGACCGGGACGATTAATGTGCTGGATATCGGAGTATCCGAGTCGTCGAACATAGAAGGTGTATTAGACAAGAGTCCCGAGCATGGCTTGCGGGCTGCGCGTGGGATGGCATGTAATCCTCTGAGCACTGCTCGAATATCAAAGCAGTCGCTGCTTGCCAAGAATGGCATGGTCGGACGAGGTCCGAGGCATCGAGGGCTAGGCCCTAGTGATGCGCATAGAGTGGCACATAATCCAATGATCACTGCTCACGTTTCGAAGCAGTCGCTGCATGCCAGGAGTGGCTTGGTTGGCCAAGAGCCGAGGCATCAAGGGCAAGGCTCTTCTGATCCGCGTGGAGTGGGACGTTATCCACTGAGCGAAGACTTGTAGAAATAGCAGCTCTTCGTTGGATGTTGTTAATATCATCAAGGCTCCGATGGAACAGGGAGTGGGGACATTGGACGACGCCGAGTGCGTGTTCCCACTCGATGAGACATTAAATGTCGCAGAGAGGAGGCGGCGATGCCATATGTTACCTGCAAGGCGAAGGGCGTCGACCCTGACCCAGGGTGTATCTACCGTACACGATAGCGCACAGCTATACACCCTTGTCAAGATTATGCCGGGAGATAAAGACGACAACGTCACCTTCGAGCCTATTCCCACAGTGGATGCTCTTTTTGAGCTGGACGAGATGTCCTTCAAAGAGTTTGGCGGTGCCTTGAAGGAAGGCGATTTAGCCGAATATTCTTTATACGACCGAATGAGGAGATTAAATCGTCGTCGCTTCTGAATGAAGCTGTTCTGGAGACGAAGTTGATCGCCGATCCTGAAGTATCCCTCGGTTTGTACAATCTATAGGTAAAGGAATTCCAAGACGTCGTCTCCATAGACCCGCCGTCGCTCCTACCCCCAGCCCGAGGTGTCCGTAATGAGATTGACCTGGTTCCGGGAATCAAATACTGCGAAACACGCCAATGGGCCCTTCCCAAGGAGCAGTGTGACGTTCTTGACGCATTTTTCGTGCAAAGCACGAGACAGGAATGGTGCGTGAGAACAAGTCTCCCCATTCGACACCCACGTTTTGTGTTCGGAAGACGTACAGCAAATGGCGTATCATTTACGCTCAAATTAAGCAAAACGCTGTCGCTATTCCGGCACAAACGCCGATTCCTAGAAAGGATGTTCTCCAGAACAATGAGGTTGGCTCTACAAATTACAGTTGGTCGATTGTTATTACTAATTGATCAGAGATCGAGTTATTTTCTGCTGACAGAAGTGAGTACTCCGTGCGGGATGCTCTGGGAGTAAATGCAGCAGCAGCATTTAATCGTCTTGTGATGCAGCTATTCAGGCTCCATCGGACGTATGCACAGACAAACTTTGACGACATTTTCGTCCACAGTCGTGCGGCGCACGGGAGGACAGATGAGAAAAGCCACATTGTCCATTAAAGAGCGGTTCTCGAGTGCATGCGCACGATTAAGCTTTATGCCAATGCCGATAAGTGCATGATCGGCGTGGAAAAAATCCCCTTCTCAGGGTGCGTCATTGGGATACGTG